ATGTAGCCTGAAGCCACATATGCAGCGCCACAACACGACTGTAGAGGCAGTCACCTCTGTTTACAGTCTGGATTGGACCAGAAATAAAAACAGATAGTCCGGAGGATTGAAGGAGGTGGAACAGATCCATAAAATGTTTCTTAGTGACTTCTGACTGCTGAAGTTTCATGTCGTTAATTCCCACATGCACGACTACCTTGGAAACGGTATCAGGCAGGGACTGAAGCAGAGGAGGGAGACGTATGAGCAGGTCTGGTACAGTAGCTCCGGGAATACAGCGAGTGACCGCGTTGAAGAAGCGGACGTGTCTCACGATGGAATCTCCAATAATCAGAGTGGTCGGGGCGAAGAGTGGCCTCGGAGAAGGAGCTCGGTGGACGGAACCAGCGGGTTCACCCGAAGCAGGACCCGAGCCTGAGCGCCGCTGAACACATGGAGAGGAGGAGCGGGGGTGCTGACTCTCAGCTACAGGCGACCCACGCTGTGTGCTCGGGGACGCTGGAGCGGTGAGAGGGGCTGGCTCTGGACGCTGCTGCTGACCCGGTGGAGGTGAGCGGTGGTGATGATGGCTAGCTACCCCAGTCTGAGGCTGCTGCACTGGGGTCAACATGGCTGGTGGACCGCTCTTTCGCCTGAGGACTGCTTCCTTTAGGAGCGTTTTCCTCGTAGTGGACTTGGATCCTCGAGCAGTAGAGTTTGCTGCAGTGTCCAGAGGTTCTGCTGAGGGGGCCGGGATGTCGGTGGAGAGGGCTGCATAGCGGTTTGCCAGACTCAGGACATGGGCCACGGCGCAGGATGGCTCCTCGGAATCCGCGGGCTCGTTATTCGTAAGCGGGCGCTTAGGTGTAGAACAGGAGGGTCCGGAGCTGACGGATCTCTCCCACACGACAGTGTCACAATATGCAGCGCTCAGTGACATCAGCCGTGAATGCTGCCCACCAGCGACTTTCAAAAAGTTTGGATACTAGAGATTGTTTCTCATTCAACTCTGCGGTGAGACGAAGGACTTCTTTTCGTAGATCTGCAATGGTGGCACGGTCGCTCTCACGGAGCTCCAAGGTGAGGCGACTAATATTGTGCATGTTTGAGCCAATTTCATTGTCACTTTCCATGTCCTCGTTAGCTTGTGTTAGCCTCTGTGCTACTAGTGGGTTTCAGTCGGGACTAAGTGCTATTTGCTGAAACCACTGAATTAAAAAGATAAAACACTCAGATATATTAAAAAACTGAACAATAAAAACGCGCTAAAAAGTTGTTAAAAGTTTACTAAAAAGGTGCACAGAGCAGCCCTGCAGTACTGCTTACTTTGACACACCTGCGTTGATTCATCCCAAGAAGGCCCAAGACCATTAAGACATTTAAAAATCATTAAAATAACCTTAAAATTGATCCTGAAACACACGGGGAGCCAATGCAGCGATTTTAAAACCGGTGTAATGTGGTCCCGCCCCCTGGTCTTAGTCAGGACACGTGCGGCCAAGTTTTGAAGTAATTGTAAACCTGAAATATTCTTTTTGGGAAGACCAGAGAGCAGGGCATTACAGTAGTCAATGCAACTGGTGATAAAAGCATCAGCGTCTCTGTGTTGCCCCGAGAGAGAATGGGGCGGACTCTGGCGATGTTCTTTAGATGATAAAAATCTATTTTTGTGATGTTCTTGATGTGAGGAATAAAAGTCAGCTCAGAGTCAAAGATTACGCCCAGGTTTTTCACTTGTGATGATCGATTAAAAGAGTGTGATTGGAGTTTTGTAATGTAACACAATGTAATGTAATGTGATGTTTATTTATATAGCGCATTTTAACAGACCAAGGTCACCAAAGCACTTCACAATGTTCAGAGTTCAGATATATAAGAGAGTTTTGGTAAAAGTTTCTCTCTCTGGGCCTCAGGGCCGATGAAAACCTCAGTTTTGTCCTGGTTGAGCTGGAGAAAGTTTTCTGCCATCCAGGATTTCAGGTCTAAAATGCAGTTAAAAAGAGCATCCATTGGCCTGGTGTCATCAGGAGACATGGAGATGTACAGCTGAGTATCATCTGCATAACTGTGGAAGTTAATTCCATGTCTCCTGATGACACCGCCAAGAGGGAGCATGTACAGGTTAAAAAGGACTGGACCTAAAATGGAACCCTGGGGCACACCACATGTGATTTCATGGACCTGAGAGGAGCAGGTATCCAAACTTACCATGAAGGATCTGTCTGTTAAATAAGAAGTAAGTAAGTTATCTTTATTTATATACCGCCCTTCACAGACCAGAGTCACAAAGAGGTTTACAGTTCTTATTTTTGGGGCACTTGTCCTCTCACTCCACAGAGAGATGGGAGCGGGGTCGCCAGTACCCTATTGTACATATTTTTAGTGGTAGGGGAAACTGGATAGCCTGACTCTCGCCAGACCCATGTAGTTCGCTGCACTTCACACATGAGTCTGGTACTGAGCCATAGTGGTTGGATTTCAGAAGGCAGGGCATTGTAAAAAAAAATCCTTATATGTGATTGGATAGACCACTTGTCCGTTATCTTGAATGAAGTCTGCTTTCAACCACTCACATCGAAGCACACGGCTCCCATAGGTTGCCAAATCCCAGCAATATTTTCCACCTCAATGATTTTTTTTGGCTAAAAACGTAATATAATCAACTTGGGATACCATGATTGTGTTTATTGTCTTTCTGTTTATTTAATACCTACAAGTCTTTTGGAAAAATATATGCGGGAACCACCAAACCTGGCAACCCTGCTGCATAGTGTGTAAACAGGAACACTGAACCAGTGCTTCAACCAAACTTTACAGGAACATTTGACTCTTAATACACACATATATCAACATAGAACCATCTACATCTCGCCTCAAATTGCATTAAAAGTGACCTCCGTGTCTTAATTCGATCGTATTTACTCTTTTAAAAAGATTCGCGGACTTTACGTCCACCATCTTGGATTCCTCTCGCTGCTGCTTGAGAGAAACTTGAGAAGGCAGTGCAGAACCGGCAATCCTGATTGGTCGATTAAAAAATAATCTGGGGAAGGCGTTCGCTATGGGCTCGATACCAGACCCATGTGGTTCAGCCAAACGCCTCTGGTGGAGCATGGCGGAACTACAAGGGTCTGGCAGAGCCAGGCTAGAAACTGTACCCAGAGGAAACCTACGCAGACACGGGGAGAACATGCAAACGCCACTCAGAAAGGCCCTGGTCCTTTTTGCTGAGAGGCGAGAGTGCTATCCACTCAGCCACCGTGCTGTGGACCTTGTAAAATCAACACGGTCACTTTTATAGAATCATTATTTAATCTAAAATAATTGATTCACCCTAACCCTGGGCGGCACGGTGGCTGAGTGGATAGCACTCTCGCCTCTCAGCAAGAAGGTCCTGGGTTCAAATCCCGGTTGGACCAGGGCCTTTCTGAGTGGAGTTTGCATGTTCTCCCCGTGTCTGCGTAGGTTTCCTCCGGGTGCTCCGGTTTCCCCTACCACTACCACCACAAAAATATGTACAATAGGTATAGCATGTGCCTCCTGTACTGGCGACCCCACTCCCAAAAAAAAAAAAACATAACAATTGTAAACCGCTTTGAGACTCCGATGTGCAGTGAAAAGGCGGTATATAAATAAAGATTACTAATAAAGATTACTACTTACTACAACCCTGATTGAATTTACTCTAAAATGTGTTACTGATCTAAAAAGGCATTTAGCTGGGTAAATTTTGCATAAAAATGGTAAGTTGGATACCGGTCTGTAGTTGTTAAAATCATAAAAATCCAAATCTTCATCAGAAGGGGTCTGCAGGAAAGGACACACACAGGACCATACTGCGCTTGTTGTGTGCGTGTCTTTGTGTCACCAGTTCCCGCAATAAATACAGCGCTGCAAGAAACTTCCTTGTGTCTCTTCCCAAAGCGCATCTAAACTTGCTAAATTAAAGCTGGGGTATGTACATTTTCCTCTTGCATTAACAGTTCATGTGGTTGTGCCCAAAAGTAAAATGTTGTGAACGAATCAAACAGATTTAATGACAGCCATTGGGTAACATTATACAATTAATTTATTGTATAAATTATTTGAAATGTCCCATTCTCATCCATGTAAAAAACAATATGGTGCTATGTCCGTCTCCCTCACTCTGTAGTGACATATTTATTCATCTCAATGTAGATCATTGCACTTTTTTAAAAGTGTAGAAACTGCATACTGTATTAGGGCTGGGCGATAAAACAATAACGATATATATCGCGATAGACATGTGTTCGATATCAATAGAGAATGGGGTCGATAGAATGTTCGATAGTTTAACTTAACTCCGTCAGGAAAAACAGGAAGAAAACACCGGAAGTAAAGCCGACTCATAAGCGCGCGGCATTCTGGGGAATGTAGGCAGAAGCTTCTCGACCTATTACATCTTACCATGAACCGCATTAGAATATTTGCACCAGTTATATATATTATTTTTATATTGTATTTTATTATTTACTTTTGTATTTCTGCAGGTGTCGCAGGGAAGGACAAAAGAGTGGAAAGGGCTATTGGAGTTTGTAAGAAGGTGGTCTCTGCCTTCTCCTACTCGTGGAAGAAAAAGAGGGAGCTTTTTAAAAGTCAGGAACGTCTCCATCTTCCAAAGCACCAGGTGGTCACAGAGTCACCAACTCGGTGGGGCTCAAGACAGAAGATGGTGGAAAGGTTCCTAGAACAACAAAAGGCTATCACTGAAGTGTTGTCATCAGACAAAAAAAAACAGGCACCTGATCCCTACATGGCAGGACATTGGTGTTCTCGAGTCACTGCATGAGGTGTTAAGTCCTCTTCTGGAGTTCACTGACTCCCTCTCTGGGGAATTATACGTGACGGTCTCCTATGTAAAGCCAGTGCTCCACCTGTTCCGCACAGATTTGCTGAAGGGAAAAGACCAAGACACTCAACTAACGAAAGACCTTAAGACCACTATCATGTCGTATCTGGATGAAAAATATGCTGGCTCAGAAACGGAGGATCTCCTCAACATGGCTGCCTTTGTGGATCCTAGATTTAAGACACGTTACATCAGCCCAGAACAAGTAGAGGCCATTAAAGAACGAGTACTGTGTGAAATGATGGACGAAGACCCCAGCCAATCAGAAGCTGAGATTCCAGAGGGAACAGGAGGCCAGGGGGCAGAAGAAGAAGGTGCCACATCTCTCCCACTGGGTGTGAAGAAACAGCGAAAATCATTGGGCAGTTTCTTCAAAATACCAAGTCAAGATGATGAACAAGATGCCGTACCTCTCACTGAAAGGCAAAAAGTAGAAATGGAGATGAAAAGCTACTCAAAATGCCTGGATGCAGACGGTGAGTCTGACCCCCTTCAGTGGTGGAAGGTACATGAGCGCAAGTTTCCCAGAATGTCGCAGCTTGCCAAAAAATACTTGTGCATTCCAGCCACCAGCAGCCCCTCTGAACGAATTTTTAGTACTGGTGGTAATATTGTGACATGCACCAGGGCTGCCTTAAAACCTGAGATGGTCAATCAGCTTGTCTTCCTTGCACAAAATCTGAAGTGAGGCAATGGTTCAGTGACTTGCAGTATTTGAGTTGTTACTTGATTTTTTTTTTTTATATGCTGAAGCGGGGACAGGTTTTTTTTTGTCACAGATGTTTACAATACTGTTAAATGTGACTTATTTATTTGTGTTTATGGTTACCAGTATGGCCTTAAAGCCTAAGCAGGTGCATTTATACGGAGGCTTGATTACACACAGGTGCATTCTATTTATCATCATCAGTCATTTAGGACAACATTGGATCATTCAAAGATCCTCACTGAACTTCTGGAGTGAGTTTGCTGCACTGAAAGTAAAGTGGCCGAACAATATTGCACGCCCCACTTTTCAGTTTTTTATTTGTTAAAAAAGTTTAAATTATCCAATAAATTTCGTTCCACTTCACGATTGTGTCCCACTTGTTGTTGATTCATGACAAAAAAATTAAATGTTATATCTTTATGTTTGAAGCCTGAAATGTGGCAAAATGTTGAAAGGTTCAAGGGGGCCGAATACTTTAGCAAGGCACTGTACATCACTTCACCAACATGCTCTGTTGACATGGAACATAAATTACATTATTTGTGGCATGGTGGCAATTACAGCCTCCGCACGTTCAGACCTGCTTCTGGACTCCAGCGGTCAGTCGTGGGCTGAGAGGACTCGCACAGGGATGGTTTTGTGTTTTCTTCTGCGGGCTAATAGATGGACATGTCATTGACGGCAGCTGCCATTGGCGTTACACACTCAATTAGGCTCATGATGGTTGTAATTAGAGGAGAACTGGGAATGCCCCAGTCACCTCCGGGCATCTTTGGGCCACTGCTTTCATTACATCTGTTTCAAGAATACTTCAAGGCTACACATTATGCAAAATTGACTTTCACAGTTACTGTATAATGGAGTTCTCCTGTCATTAGTGCTCTTACAGTTGTAGTCTCTGTGAGTCATATGAGTCTCCTTGTACTGTACTGGATCATCTATGTCCACCCACTCACAAAATGATCCATGCTGAATTTGTTATGGCTTAAAAAGCAGTGGAATTCTATTTTTAACTGTGGTTAAAAATAAAAAAAAGACAAAATAAACTTTGAACCATCTTCTTTTGCTCTTCTTTTTGAGGGTTTCTCTCCTTATGGAGAGATTGACACCCGATCATGGTGTTCTGCACCACTCTCAGGTCAGCAGTCTTCCCCATGATGGTTAATTTCACGGAACCAGACTGAGAGAGACCATTTCAATTCTCAGGCTGCAGGTTTTTGGATCAATTAGCTGATGACAGTTTTAGTTGACTATATTATCCCTTTTCTAATCTTCTGAGAGTTCAATTATTTTGTTTTTTCAAGCTGTAGGGAATTTCAATTAAACAAAAGCTTGACATTTCAAGGTTTTGTCTAAAGGGCACCACCATTTTCACTGACATAAATATAATTACAATAATCTAATATTACTATTTCCAATCTGATAAGTTGGGTATATATTATAAATATAGATATACCCTGTTGGAGTGGCTCAGTCTCACATCGAGGTGTACAATGCAAAATGCAGCCCAGATATGACTGAACTGGGTTACCCAGTTTTTCCAAAAAGTCCAGCCGTCGACAGACAAATATGGCCCATTTAACAGAGGTAAGCTGGGAATAAACGCTGCAGTCCTGAAATGACAAATAACAAAAAGAGGGAAGACCGTAAGGCTTTGTATCTGTTCATCATTTTCACAGAAAGGAGACAAAATATGTAAAATGGACTTATCTTCCCTTGTTCTGCACAGCTCAATGTGATACCAAATGAACAAAGTACAAAAGTATCTTGGCCACCAGAGCTTCTCTAGTGATGGTATTGCTGCTATATTATTAATACCCAGAACCTTCCCCTGCCCCTTCTGTTCTTAAACCTGTTTTATGCTTTGACTAATGCTCTATGATGTCCTGAGCGGTTTTCTCTTTCAAAACTAAGCTATTTTGAATATCTTCTGTCAAATGACGATCATTAACTGTGTCCCTTCACAAGGATGTTTACTCCATTAGCCAGGTGTCCTTCCCCACATCAACCACAAGATGAACGTTTTTCATCATATCTGTGTATTTGTCGATACAGTTTAAAGTTCACATACAGTGTACTTTGCATCCAGGATTTCACATTTCCTGATATTGAATCCGAGTATACATAGTTCCCACATGACGTCACTACATACGGGGATTTGCCGACCCGGCGCCATTTGTCTTGGCATGCTGTGGGCAAAACAATAGAAAAAGAAGCTGAAACGTGTTAATGTCGTGATAAAGTTGAAAATGGTCATCTCCTGCTGGGTCAATGGATGTTCAAATCGTGCCGGAGGTTCCGTTAAACTTGGATTTTACAGTATACCCATCATTAGACTTCATGAATGTGAGAAGACTAAGCTTTTGTCAGAACAACCACGGAGGTTATGGCTTGCGAAGATAAACAGGCAAGAAACTCCCTCAAAACACGCAAGAATATGCTCGGAGCACTTTGTGTCAGGTGCGTATCGTATCTTATAATGTGTTGACAGACGTAATTTACTCAGTACTAACTTGTGTATGCTGATATCTGGTAACTTGAGAGTTTCATTATTTAGATTACTTTATTATGAGGAGGATCGGTGTCGCGTCCGAGGCTCTCGAGGGCAACGTAAATGTATTAAATAGATAATAATAGTTCTATGGTGGGCTAAAACAATGTTCACAAACAGCATTGCTTCTGTAAAAAGATCTGTGTCATAAAATAAACTGCTCTTTACGCCTGGAAAAATCAGTTGCCCACCATTCACCAAAACATACGGTCAAAAACGCGGAAATAAACAATAACAGCAATCCAGAGTGTCCGTGTGGCATTAGCATTAATTAAATTAATTGTTAATATAATTAAAATAATTAAATGGAGCTCCAACTGGTATTAAATCTAAAGTTTTTGAGAAATGTTTGCATTGCTTGATAATTTTTGCTGCATAATTTGATCAAATATGTAAAACATGTCCGTAGCACGTTAAACTGTGGTGCCATTGTATTAATATACAATTATTTGCTCAAAAGTTGCCTTTTTTTCCAATTTGCGTTTGAATATCTACATTTATTCTCATTCTTCTGTTTAATGGAATGCACAAACACAGCAGCGTGCCATCAAAGATGGCGTCTCCGAGGAGGTCATGTGACATTCATTGGTCTGTGGGAACTATGTATAGCTCTCTGTGTTGGTTCAGGAGGAACATTATATTAATAACTGTTTAATATTTAATAATAGGAGGAAACTATTATTTATTTCAGCTTTTATTCATTACATCCCATCATCAGAGGGGCAAAGGTTTACATACATAAGATTAATTATTGGTAGAATCTCTACACACGGTTTGTAAAATTATGATTCCATCTAAGCATATGTTTATCCCTAAACTCTTTCCAACTGAGATCATCAGGTTTATACAAAGCACCAATATTCTCCCACAGACCTTTGCATCAGCATGCACTAGTTCTCAAGTGGGAGCTAATTATTTTCCTGATTAGTTTAACATCCGCCAAAACAAAATGTGTTATTTGTCAACTTTTGGGGCACATTGTTATTCCCTCCGCGACACGTGTGTTGTGGTTTACAGCAGGTTTAAAGAGAAAACTAATTGGATGGAGATAAAACAGGGCATCTGAGCTGTCACTCAACAGCATTTTACTTGTATTTTTTGAGTTTCTTCAAAGGTTGAGGTCTACACTGAAGGAAGATTCACAAATGTACAAACAATGGATTGAACAGCTTGGATAACGCCTCAAGCTTTAGGATTGAGGCATTAATACAATATTGACACATTGTTTGCAGGATAAACAATAGAGATACAATATTCCAGAGATGGGGACTCGCGATAAGGACTTGGACTCGAGTCCGACTTAAGTCGCTATTTTTAGAGACTTACGACACGACTCGGACTCGTCCCCTAAAGACTCAGACTTGACTCGGACTCGTTGTTTTTGGACTTGTGAACATTGCGAGTCCTGACGCTCCAGATCCATCCATTTCACAGGCTGGTAAGGGTGCCTGCTCTATGGCTGTGCCTGCTCTATGGCTGTGCCTCCTCTATGGCTGTGCCTCCTCTATGGCTGTGCACGCTCTATGGCTGTGCACGCTCTATGGCTGTGCGCGCTCTATGGCTGTGCGCGCTCTATGGCTGTGCCTGCTCTATGGCTGTGCCTGCTCTATGGCTGAGCGCGCTCTATGGCTGTGCCTGCTCTATGGCTGTGCGCGCTCTATGGCTGTGCCTGCTCTATGGCTGTGCGCGCTCTATGGCTGTGCCTGCTCTATGGCTGTGCGCGCTCTATGGCTGTGCGCGCTCTATGGCTGTGCCTGCTCTATGGCTGTGCGCGCTCTATGGCTGTGCCTGCTCTATGGCTGTGCGCGCTCTATGGCTGTGCCTGCTCTATGGCTGTGCGCGCTCTATGGCTGTGCCTGCTCTATGGCTGTGCGCGCTCTATGGCCGTGATCGCGGGTCTTGACTGTGTGGGAATGCACGCGTTGGCTCATCACTTTGTGCATCAGTTGCGCAGCCTTAACGTGGACATAATGTTCCCAGAACAATACATGCGCACAGGACCATACACACAGGACCATTCTCTGCTTGTTGTGTGCGTGTCTTTAATACACCTCTGCAATAGACAGGGCTGGATTATGGAGCCTCCTGAAGTTCCCATGTCTCCCCCTCCTGAACTCGCTAAATTAAAGCTGGGGTACGTACATTTTCCCTCGCATTAACAGCTCATGTTGGTTGTGCCAACAGTAAAATGCTGTGAACAAACAAAAAGATTTAATGACAGCCATTGGCTGACATGATGTATTTCAAACTTGTTTTGATAACACCATCCAGCCGCGGCTTCTCAGGGACAAGCTGGAGACAGCCGGTGTGGACTACGACCTGTCCCAGTGGGTCCTGGACTACCTCACAGACAGAACCCAGTTTGTGAGAACCAGGGACTTTGTGTCTGAGGTCCTGACCTGCAGTGTGGGTGCCCCCCAGGGAACTGTCCTCGCGCCGTTCCTCTTCACCCTCTACACTGCGGACTTCAGACACAACACGGACGGTTGTGTCCTCCTGAAGTTCTCCGACGACTCTGCCATCATCGGACTCAGCTCCGAGGACGATGACACAGAGTACAGAGGAGTTATACAGGACTTTGTGGACTGGTGTCAGCGGAACCACCTCCTCATCAACGCGGGGAAGACCAAGGAGATGGTGGTGGATTTCTGCAGACGTCACTCGTCCGCTCCAGCTCCAGTGAACATCCAGGGAAAGGGAATTGAGAGAGTGGACTCTTACAAGTACCTGAGTGTTCATCTGAACCATAAACTGGACTGGACTCATAACACAGACGCCCTCTTCAAGAAGGGCCAGAGTCGCCTCTACCTGCTGAGGAGGCTCAGGTCTTTTGGAGTGCAGGGGCCACTCCTGAAGACTTTCTATGACTCTGTAGTGGCATCAGCCATCTTGTACGGTGTGGTCTGCTGGAACAGCAGCATCACAGAGAGGGACAGGAAGAAGCTGGACAAGGTCATCAGGAAGTCCAGCTCAGTCCTGGGCTGTTGCCTGGACACAGTGCAGCAGGTGGGGGACAGGAAGGTCCTGAGCAAACTAACATCTATGCTGGACCATGACTGTCACCCCCTGCAGGACACTCTCTCTGCTCTGGAGGGCAGCTTCAGTGACAAACTAATTCACCATCGCTGTGTGAAGGAGAGGTTCCGTAGGTCTTTCCTTCCTGCTGCTGTCAGACTGTACAATAAGAACTGCTGAGCCTGTAAATTTAATTCATCTGTAATTAAGTAAATTCTTAAATCATGTGCAATGTGCAACTTCAGAATGTCACAGAACAATGTCACTTTACCTTATGTCACTTTACTTATCTACTTATTATCCTGCACTATTTAACTGTACAGTATATAACTTCACTACTACTACATATATATTTTTTGACTGGTATTGAAGCATTTTCATAAGATAAGATAAGATTGCTTTATTGCTTTATTTATCTCACAGAGGAGAAATTTACATGTCACATTTGGCATGGATAATCTACAGCTAGTTATGTTAGCTAAGAAACATAGCTACTACTTATTTGTATATAGTGTATATATTGTGTGTGCTCCCTGTGTGCTCTTACTACTGTCCTATACAGTACCTTGCGAAAGTATTCGGCCCCCTTGAACCTTTCAACATTTCGCCACATTTCAGGCTTCAAACATAAAGATATAAAATTTAAATTATTTGTCATGAATCAACAACAAGTGGGACACAATCGTGAAGTGGAACGAAATTTATTGGATAATTTAAACTTTTTTAACAAATAAAAAAACTAAAAAGTGGGGCGTGCAATATTATTCGGCCCCTTTACTTTCAGTGCAGCAAACTCACTCCAGAAGTTCAGTGAGGATCTTTGAATGATCCAATGTTGTCCTAAATGACTGATGATGATAAATAGAATGCACTTGTGTGTAATCAAGTCTCCGTATAAATGCACCTGCTCTTTGATAGTCTCAGGGTTCTGTTTAAAGCACAGAGAGAACCATGAAGACAAAGGAACACACCAGGCAGGTCCGAGATACTGTTGTGGAGAAGTTTAAAGCCGGATTTGGATACAAAAAGATTTCCCAAGCTTTAACCCACTAAGCAAGCCAACGTTGATTCATCGTCATTTCAACGTCGTTGCCTGACGTAGAATATAGGTCACTGGTGGGTGCAGAATGAAAGTTTTCTCGACGTCGTTTCCCGACGTCACCTCAACCTCCAAATTTGACGTCGATGGCACGTCCATTTATGGCCCAAATCTGGTGCAGAACCGGTCGGATCCGACGTTCTAATAACGTCTCATATGACCAAAATAGACGTCTATATGACGCTCCTCTCCAGTCCTTTCCACTTAGCATGCAGATGTGAAAACAACGTCATTTCAACGTAGATGGCGCGTCCATTCAAGGTCTGAATCTGGTATAGAACCGGTCGGTTCCGACGTTCTAATAACGTCTCATATGACCAAAATATTCACGCTCATACGACGTTCCTTTTTCAGTCCTTTTGACCCAGTTATGCCAAATCACTGCTGGCATGCAGTTTCAGGCTCCCACTTGTAGCCATCAAGACAACACCTAACTACATGCGTTTATTTTATAGATTATGATTAACATTCTTTCAAAATTACATAAATGTACATACAAGTTCTACTTGAGGATAATTTGATCCCTATTAGGCCACAGTGATGAAGGTGTCATTAGTACAAACATACTTAAAAGTTGATGCTAAAGAGAACACATGAACCATGTTCGGATCAGTATCAAAACATGCTCAACACCATATTCAGAAAATGTCACTCTAGGTTCCCGAGTTGTAAAAAAAACAATCAGAAAGGGATATGGCAAGTGAATTTATTACATGTAAGGCATGTGAATGGAGAAATCAAAACGTTGGCAGTTTCCTCTTTTAGGCCAGCCTTCCACGTCTTGGGGCATGTTTGAGGTGATCCCCAACATACATCCTCACTTCGTCTTCAGTCCCCTCTTTACAATGTAGCAGAACAGCACCTGAAAATGTGGGGTAATTAATAGTTACCTAATGTAACTTAAGTTCTACGAATAGGTGCGTAGTCCCTTAGGACTTCGCTAGTGGGATATCACGTGACCCCCAGGTCACACGCCAGAGAGATCAAAATAATTTGCTCCAATCACCAGCCACCCTCCTCCATAAATGCCCCTGCACAAGGCCGCACCCCCTCTTGAACTCTGCCAAGCCGGGCTGGCCTGATGGGCTCATAGCTAAGGGACTACGCACCTATTCGTAGAACTTAAGTTACATTAGGTAACTATTAATTCTACGTCATGGTGCTACGTCCCTTAGGACTTCGCTAGTGGGACACAACGCGGAGGCCGTAGGAACATGTACTCCCAGCAGGCCAGCGAAGGGTGATTGGAGCTCCGCCCGAGCAAGACCCTCACACAGTGAGGGGACTCAGGGCAGAAGAAACAATGCGTGTTACAGGGCCACTCCTACCAAGGATACCCCCATGTAACACAGATGTAGGTCATCCGTAGTCACAGGACGCCTCTCCCAAGGGCTCCTGACGTGGACTACCTGACCGACCAAACACACATATATGTACCGCACCTGTAGGATGCCTCTCCCAAGAGCTCCTGAACCAGGGCGGAAAGTAAACCGAAGGCCCCCTCAGAGGAGGGACCTAACGGTCTAACTCAGTCCGCTGCACTCAGCACGGAATGGGCCACCGACCGGTCCGACATATCCAAAAGATAAAACCGGACGAAAGAGGAGGACGACGCCCAAGAAGCCGCACGGCAGTCGTCCTCGACCGACACCCCCCTGAGAAGGGCCGCAGAGGCCGCCATCCCACGCGTGGAATGCGACCTGAAGCCCACCGGGAGGGCCAGACCCTGCGTCTGATACGCCCGCCGCACGGCCGTGGCGACCCAGTGCGCCAGCCGCTGAGCCGACAGCGGGGCGCCCCTGTTCTTGGGGCCCAGACACACAAACAGCTGACCACCCAACCTGAATGACGACGTCATGGCCAGGTAATGCCTCAGCATTCTGACAGGACACAGAAGGTGCCACCGCTCCTCCTCGGGGAAGGCATGCGGTGGCGGATAGAAAGCCCTAATCCTGATCACTCTCGACCTAAAGGCCGACGTGATGACCTTGGGGAGAAAGCCGGATTGGGCCACCATACCACCATGCCGTCGCCCTCTCCAAAGGACAGGCAAGACGCATGGACAGAGAGCGCACACAAGTCGCCCGCCCTCTTAGCAGACGCCAACGCCAACAAGAGGGCCGTCTTAAAGCGTCACACTCGGGACTCGCCTCCGCCGCCGGTTCAAAAGGCGGACCCGACAGCCCCCTAAGGACCACCCTGAGGTCCCAAACCGGGGGCGTTCTCTGGAGCGGGGGCCTCCTCCTGCGTGCCCCCCCGCAGAAAACGTTTAACCAACGGATGAGAGCGGGCTGTGAACCCCCCGAATCCGTCGTGACCCGAAGTAATGGCTGCCGCGAACACCGCCAAGGTGGCGACAGCCCTCCCCTTGTCAAAGAGCTCCTGTAGGAATCCCAGGACCCCCTCCAGCGGGCAACGCCTGGGATCCCAGGAACGAAAACCGCACCAGTCGCTGAAGAGCCTCCACCTTGTGGCGTAGGCCCTCAATGTGGACGGCGCCCTCGCCCCCTGAGTGGTCTCCACCACCGCAGGGGGAAGACCCAGGCCTACGAGGTTCAGCCTCCAACCCAGAGCCTGCGGCCGATTATCGGGCGTGAAACAGGGCTCCTCCCCCCCCCGGACTAGAGCCCCCGGCTCGTCCGGGAGGGCCCAGGGCTCCATCACCGCCATGCCCCTCAGGAAAGGGAACCACCGGGCATGCGGACTGTCCGGCGCCACCCGGATCACCGACCTCCTCTCCTGTTCGATCCTCCGCAGCAGGACCGGCAGGAGGCGC